GATCCCTCTCCAGTCTGGGAAAGCACAAAAAGATCCAGAAGCATCTTTTATCTGATCCTGTGTTCGTGGTGTTGTTTCTCTTACTCTTCTGCTCCAGATTTAGTGTTCGATTCGTCTGAGTTTACACAATGTCAACACAACTAAATTGATGGATCTCAACCGTTTTAACCAACGCAGAGAATCTACTCCATCACTTGGGTTTTAGTGCAGCTTTGTGGTTTTAGGTGTTGATGACTGATCAACTTTCCATACCGGCTGGCTGTGAGAGCAGCAGCATTACTCAGCACTTTGTTTTTGACGCTGCAGTCAGGTCGGATAACACTGTGTGTTTACAGTCTGTTTCACAACCTTCATGGAAGGGAATTTGCCTACAGTGTGTTTGTGTGTGATGATAAATGAAGAAACACAACTCAAGAGGCGCACGTTACCGATTTTTACACAGGAAGCTCAGTTTACTCGTGATGAGGAATGAACCCTTGTGAAGTTATCGGGTTTATCTTAGTTTGGGATGTGCAGGATCCATTCTTTTTGGCCAGGACATCTCAGACTCCACTCTTTCGAATTTGACCATTTATTTCGGGAATGTGGGTGTGATTGTCGCTCTTGCCTGGGGCCGGCTGATTCCTCAACAGCTGAGTCCGATTATTAGAAAAACAGTGATAACACACACACACACACACACAAATATAAATCAGAGCAGCGTGACTCTGATTGATTGAGGGACACCAGGTGGTTGAGGTTAGGCGAGGATCACGGCTAGGAGAACAGAGGACACACACACACACACACATATAGTATGTTGACTGTAATGAGATTAAGGCAGTTTAAATTACAGACTCTGTAATCCACCGATGGGTTTTGATTCCATTTGTTGATGTTATCATGACATCATAATGTTTCTTATAATGATTTATCATGATATTACAAACGTCTTACGATGGCTATTCTTATACTGTCGGCTTCTACCACGAGTCTCTCTTTCTGCGCTATAGCAATACGGTCATTTTCATTTTAAAGTCTGGTGACGCTGAGACAGCAATATTTTCATGGATTTTTAGCAATATTTCATTTAAGCAACAACATGGTTGAAAAAATCCAGCTAGTTTTCAGATTAGTAGGACTGTTAGGAAAACTGTTTTTTTGTTGGACAATATATTGCCCCAGAAATGATTTCCATCAATAATATTATTGTCATTTTAAAACCATTTTATGCCACTGATATTATGATAATATAATAACATTTGATGCAAGTACACCCTTTCAAAGCTCAATGAACTTTTAATTCTTAAGAATATTCAAACATTAGAATTGGAATGTGGAAAAAGAAAATAGAAATATTTTGAAATCAATACGACATGAAATGAAGCCACAAAACAATAAATGAGATGGACTCTCAGGCTCTGTTAACAAAAATGTGCAATGTCTTATAATGTCTGCAAACAGCGTTGTTTATTCTAGCGTCACATTAAATGGTGGTGACATTCTTATGTAAACAAACACGCATGTAAACACACAAGGCAATAGGGAGGTCAGCGAAAATGGTCAAAGTCATATCCTTATATGGTACGATAAGTCCTACAACGTAACTATTGTGACAGGCCTGCTGATTGGCTGTTTTATTCTCCACGTACTGCTCCGTAGCTGCGGCATGCATCTATATGAACCTTTTGCTAGCTTCATGCTTAGTAGATAGATATCAGTAAGAGGGCTGAATATCAGTCAGTTCAGTCGGCAGTGGACTGTGTGCAACCTACCTTGATTTGGCTCTCCCTCTCTAAAGGGAAATGCTGGTATATGTGAAACATGTACAAAGATTAAGGGAGGTTGAACATGGGAGATCATCTGAGATCACACCATCGACTGCCACTCATCTGAGGCAAAATACACCATGTTCAAATATATTATATAGAGGATGCATTAGCAACAATATATATATATATAAAAAAGCCAAACAAACACCGGCTTTTTAAAGGTTTAGGACTGCCGATCGGACAAAACAAGGCTTTTGAATATTTCCCTTTCGGCTCTTGGGCAATTCGATAAATATTTATCACAATTTTTCTGGCATTTTATAGACCAAGCTATTCCAGAATGTAATCACTCGTTGCATCACTGATTACATTATTTATTTTTTTGCGTGTAAAACTGATTTGATCGCGTCCTTTACTGAACGACGCAGTGAGAATAGCACCTTCTTTCACAGCTATAAACAAGCTGTCGTTTTCATTAGATGGATGCAGCTGACCTATAAATCAACTCCTTTTTCCCGTAGGTTTCACTTCTGCGGGGTTCAGCCCTCTATCTGCTTCATCACCAGATATACACAGCGCTGTGATGTTTTGCTGCTATTCTCTCCAGGGAGAACGGCTAAGTGCATGTGCACACAGCTACCCCTCCCCTCTCTGTCTTACGGGGCACGCTGACATTTACTCGATATGGCTACGTTGTTTTCCAGTGGCTTTAGGTTTGGTGACAGCAGCGAGGACTTTTGTTGCAGTGGCGAGGGAGGGAGAGGCCAGAAAAAGGGGGTGAGGGGTGAGGGGGAGACAAAGAGACTTAGGGTTGAGTCAGAAAACGACAGAGGAACCCCGAATGAATCAATTAGTCATGAATCATAAACCTCCAAAGATACAGTTTGTATTAATGCAAAACTGCAATGTAAGCACACGACGTGCACACACACACATGTATTCCCCTCAGCAGCCTTGGAGAAGAGCACCAAATGTTGTATCTTGTGTCTTGTGGGCACACGTGTGCTCTTCAGGAGAAACCAATGCATATATTTATGTGTGTAACACAAAGAGGAACGGGGCAGGAACAGGTTAAAACTAATGTAACAGTGTAACCTTCACCACGACTCGCATACGTGGCTATTTTTAGGATTCGCCGTAAACTCATTGTGGCTTGAAAAGTGGTCTTAGAAATTGTCGTCCCTGTTAGAGAGCAGTGTCTGTAGTCAGCTTGAAATGCATGTGTGTTACAGTGGATTGTTATACTGATGAGCTTTTACTGTGGGTGAAAAAAAGGATCAAAACGTCCTCAGTCTTTCCTGCTGCTGGCCATCTTTATGTTAATGTTTCAAGCACTTCCCAAAACATGCCTGCATAACTTTAAAAAGAACTATGCAGATTGCGGTATAAAGTGCTTTGTACATTGTTTTTAGTTTTTGACGACATACACTGACAGAGATTATAAATATGCAGATTTTCTGTTTAAAAGGAGATCAGTGAAATATCATGAAGAAAGTATAAAAAACTGCAAACTGTCTGCATAAGAGCGAGAACGTGTCCTGTCACAGAGTTTGCTGATCTGTATGTCTACTATGGATTTCCGGAGCTTGAAGCATATTGTTTACATATTCACAAAGGATCTTATCTTCACCACCATGGCTTCATAACTAGGATCTCTCTCTTAAGAAGTATTCACAAAGCTGCTGAGAGCAGCCTTTAGTAAGGATCAAATGAAATTCATTTATAGAATGAATAGATTCATCAATATGAAATATTGACTTGTTGCGTATATTTTAAATGGCATCAAACACATAACTTTAGGAGTTTTTATGAGTCCTGAAGTTAGGACTGAGATTCCCTTGTTTTAGTTTTCTTCTCATCAGTTACTGTTGGAGGGACTTTTAGCTTCAGGATGTGTTGTAAATACGTTCCCAGGAGAACATCCAGTGCGTTTTGTTAAGATTGGATGGAAATCTGTTATTTGATGTAAAATAAGACTGAAACTAATAAATATATGAAAGTTGAACTGATTCTTTTCGTTGTCATTTTGACGTCTTGAACATTTCCATTTAAGTTTGGAAGCTATTTTTATCCTCCGGTTGTCAGCTGTCAGAGAGACGAGCCAGATCATTTTTACTCTCTGTCTCCCACCTTCTGAGGGATTTTATTTTAAGCGTATCTTTTGTAGAAAATACTGCCAAGGACAGGTGCTGCATCTTTCATGAATGGGAAGGAAATGCTTTTCATGGACTCGACATGAATAGTAGTTGCTGTGAGCCGTGTCCTTTGTGCATTTTTAATTAAATCGGGAATATTGCAGTGAATGTTTCATATTTTTCCCCGTGAGAATCTGAATTTGTTTGGGTGAGCCTGTGTGGCTCAATAAAGGTCAAACGGTGTCAGTCAGAGTTTAATAATGAAGTGTGAGCTGCCTCTCCACACCACCTTTCTTGCTGCCCTTTGCATGTATGAGTGTGTGTCTGTACAGCACGTGTGTTAATATCTTAACATGAGGACAAAGACATTCCTAGTTGACTAACACTTCTACAATTTTGTCGACAAATAGGTCAGTCGATTTTAATCAACAGATCTGTATAACTGAGTTTCTCCTTGAGGAACAACACAAAGCGCCACTTTAAACCTTTTACATTTACCAGATATATGTACATATATATATATATATACATTTTCTTGGAAATGACTCATTCAGCATGCAAAAAGCATAAAAACAACTAATCCACTGAAGAACTCTTATTGGACTAAGACCAAAACAACTGTGAAGTAGACTAATCGACTAAGAGAGGGCATCCCTACTTTACATACGTTGAAATGAATGTACATGTGTGTATTATGTCTAAACATGTGTGTCAAAAAACTGCATTTTAACCATTTTGAACAAAACTGTCTCTTGAGAATAAGCACCACTACTTTGACATTAGGGCGGCAATTTACGATTCCTTTCATTATCAAGTAATCTGCAGATTATTTTCTTGATTCATTGATTAATCATTTAATATGTAAATTGTTCAATTGGTCATTGGAATTTCCCAGTCTTCAAATGTCTTATTTTATCTGACCAACCAAAACCCTAAGATCAAATATTCACATTTATGAAGCTGAAACTAGAGAATGTTTTTCATTTTTGCTGATTAAAAAAAGACATAGAGTTGTCAATACATTTTTTTACTGATCAACTAATTGATTGATTTACTACTTTGGGTAAATATGACTGACATCATGTATTGTCCTGTATCTGTGTGTGTGCTGCAGGGTGTCGGGCGCGATGGCTAATGCCTCCCCAGACCTGGACAACGCGGAAGCCCAGCGCCAGCTCAACAACAACAACCGACCAAGCAGCTCAGGATTCTGGGAGACGGAGTGCACCAGCTCCAAGCTGTTCGAGTGCTCCCGCATCAGGGCCCTGGCAGGTCAGAGGTCACGCACGTGCTAACTCACACACACACTCACACACACACACACACACATCTGCATGGAGGCATAGTGTTGGCATGGTGTTGGCTGTTTTGAATTTTAGTTTTTTTTTTCTGTTCAATAGTTTTATCAAGACTGATCTATGGCTTGACTTTTAAATTAAAAAGTATCAAATCAGGTACAGCATCTCACTAGATTAGGCTGTAAGCACAATATGCTTGAATGCTAATGTTAGCTAATATTATTTAGGTGAATATTTGACTCCAAGCATTATTCCTCCCTTTGATGTGACGCTGATTCGTTCGTTTCCCTCAGACGAGCGAGATGCAGTGCAGAAGAAGACTTTTACCAAGTGGGTTAACTCCCATCTGGCCCGAGTGTCGTGTCGCATAGCGGACCTCTACAACGATCTGAGGGATGGATACATGCTCACCAGACTGCTGGAGGTCCTCAGTGGAGAGCTGCTGGTGGGAACACACACACACATGCACATAACGGCAAATTACAAGGGGCTTGGTGTCTGTTTTGTAGTCTCTCGTCATTGATCTGTCTCAGCACGTGAAGTGTTAACTCTTAAAGGTGCTGTATGTGGTCTCTGTTTATAATCCCTGTGATTTCCCCCCCAGCCAAGGCCTACACGGGGTCGCATGCGGATCCACTGCCTGGAGAACGTGGACAAAGCCCTGCAGTTCCTTAAAGAACAGAGGGTTCACCTGGAAAATGTGGGTTCCCATGACATCGTGGATGGCAACCACCGTCTCACCCTGGGCCTCATGTGGACCATCATCCTACGCTTCCAGGTAAACACAAACCCATATACAGCACCCACGTTCTGTTAGGATTCTGACATGTTATCACAGCTCGTGATGTCGTGGTTAGGTTTGAGAGACTTCTTATGGCCATGAGAAAAACACGATTTTGGTTTTCTCTGACATCTGAAGTGTTATATTTCACCTTTGGTACCAGTTTTCAATATAAACAGTGAGGAAGCTGTGATTTTAGTAACGGTTAAAATAAGATTTCTCGCTGGTTGATTTGGCAATATGCTGGCTGTGATGAATATCTGTGATGCTGGCGCACGTTCCAGTGCTACCCACTGAAGCACAATGATGCTGTCATCGGCAGTGGCTTCATTTAGGACGAGCTGCCAGCGGTTCTGTTTTGGGGGGGGGCTGGTCACAACTGCCGCATCATCAGTGTGCGACAGCGGTGTTTAGTGGATAAAGCCTGAATGTCACTCAGGGCTTAGAGGCCTCGAAGGTACCAGTCGCCTTCCAGTCTGCTCTTCAACAAGGGCACACACACACACACACACTACATCACATATTAACTTGACATGCACATTGTATCACACATCACACACACACACACACACACACAGGTTTCCAGGCCTTAGCAGCAGTGATACAGGATCAGTTCCTGCCATGTAAGAACAGCAGAAGTCTCTCTTTTACGCTTCAGCACTACAGCGTGGCTTTGGCACAAAATGCTTGTTTGGCATTATTCAGACCCTCCTGTAACATTCATGGTGCACAGCCGCCGAGCAGCTGTCTCCGGGTATTGTCATGGTAGGCCCGGCGACCGACCACAAAGCACATTTAACAGCACCGCCAGCAGACTGTCTTAGTGTGTTCAGTGATCCTCTTCAAGATGTTCTGTGTGCAATATGAGTGGACTCGTAATTTCAGTGTAAATGTTGAAATGAATGTTGTATGACGTTCACTGTTTAAGCCTGTTTAAGTTCCTTGATTGCATAATTGATATGGAAGTGTGCATGTCAGATCACAAAACCGCACCTTACACAGACGTGTGTTATAGTTATTTTTTTTGTCCTTGATAACAACATTTTCTAAAACAGCATTGTACAAAGTCAAGTTTCAGTCTTTAATCTGAATGACATGTTAGGTCATTAGTTAAAGGTCCACTCCATCGTCGTTCTTTTCCGTTTTTTCCGAATGGGAAAGAAATCAAAATCAAATATAAACGCTATATTTAGAATACTTTCACCTCTTTACCGTGCCGCCAGACAGCCCTCTCCAACAGGGAACTGAAGCCGTTATATCGCTCTCTTAAAAGCCTTAAAACACTCCTTCCACAAAAACACAAATTTGACCTCCCAGAACACGATAGTTGCTGATCTACGGCTGCCTCGATCGTGTTAGTTTGTTTGTGTTATTGTGTGACTTTCGGATACGAACTAACTAATTTAAATACAGAGGTAGACACCTCATTTACAATATAGCTGAGTAAAAAAACTGCTATATATAGATTTATATATATAGATCTATATATATAAATATATATGGACCAGCCTTTTAAGTGGACTGTAGAAAATCTAGAAATATACTGCACGAATAGATTTAATAGCTGTAGTACAGTGCTGCTTAAGAAAATATCAGGCTTGCTAACATGCTTGTTTGTTAATTCTGGAATGCCTGTTTGTGTTTTGAGTCTAGCTCGTAACCGGACAGTATTCGGCTGTATTAGCGTTAGCTGACTGCTAGTTCTGCCGCCATTAGCTGTGAGCTTGGCTGCTGTCCCGCTCTCATGCTCCCAGGAGCCACCAGTCGATGGTCTCTTCAATTGTGCATGCGCTGAGAAAGAAGATCAGTGCAGAGGACTGGTGTTCAGGAGTGTGTGTGTGTGTGTGTGTGTGTGTGTGTGTGTGTGTGTGTGTGTGTGTGTGTGTGTGTGTGTGTGTGTGTAAAAGAGAGTAAGAGTAATTATGAAAGAAGTTAGGATCGGGGGAAAGGATGGTTGGCTGATGGGAAGCCACCAGCATTGATGTTGTGTATAAGCAAAGGGTGTGGCCTAACTGTGACCTACAGTCAGTGTTCTCCCTCAGTGATGTGTTAAGTTAATGTCAGGAAGTATTTACTGGTTATGAAACAGTCTCAATGTTACACTGATGCCTCTATATGACTTGCATAAGTAAACGAGACCATCAGCAAGAAGATTGGCTGTTTCTATGTAGTTATTCGGGTCGGATTCCACGCTAAATCAGATGAAATCATGCAGGTTCAACAGAAACTCCTTCAGCTCAGACTCTGGTGGGGCCTCCAGCAACGACCAGCCCACCGCGGACAGACCAAGATCTCACTTTACTGCAGCGTTCAACCAGCAGTCAGAAGCTCTGGTGGGATGGGGAGAGGCCAGGACCAAAGCACCGACACCACGCTGCTGGAGACCCAAGCAGCATTGCTGGGTCCGCTGGAGATAAGGGAGGCAAGGGAGAACCAGAACCAGGACTGAGAGGGCCGGCCCTTTCAGACCCCTGCTGCAGTAAAATGAGAGGCTTCCTAAAGTAAATCTGGTGCTCGGAAACACTTCCTCATAGAAATCAGGTTCTTCAGTTGCGATGTAGTGTACCACACTCTTTACTGCTGTCTGTTTGGCTCATTTAGGTTACTGCAATTCTTTTTATTATCATATCAGCCTTTAAACACCTGCCATTATTTAAAGTTTCGACAAGGAACCTTCATTTTGTGTTGATTTTAGCGGCCCCTGTGGATGAAAGTGGTAGTGTTTCCGAGCGCCAGAGCCCCTTTAGCAAACCTCTCATTTTACTGCAGCAGGGTCCAATAATAATAATAATAATACATTTTATTTATATTACGCTTTTCAAAATTCTCAAAGACACTTTACAAACATTAAAGTCAGTCTACCCAGCTCAGTCCTGGTTCTGGTTCTCCCGTGCCTCCTTTCCCTCCAGCTGATCCAGCAATACGGCCTGGGCCTCCAGCAGCGTGGTGTCGGCGTTGTCTCCCAGAGGGGACCGACAGAGCAGCGAGCTGCTGCCGGGTGCTGAGCTCTCCTCCTCCCCCCGGCACACCGACTGCAGGTCGAAGGCGGAAGCGAAGCCGGATCGGGTCTGTTCGCGGTGGGCTAGTTGATGCTGGAGTCTGAGCTGAAGAGGTTTCAGTTCAACCTGCATGATTTCATTTTACTTTGCGCCAACCGATGACAGGCTTTTAGAATGTTTATATAGAAATAATATAAAGAAATCTAAATGAAAAGAAAATACACACAATATAGAGGGACCATGTTGAAAGATTAAATATTAGGGTTTGAACAGAGAAAATAAATTTAAAATAATTATCACTGAATGAAATAATGTTAAAAACTAAACTGCACAGCACACAAAGAAAGTCCATCACATTTATTTGGGTGATATTTCAGACTAACAATGGTACCAAATCAGTCTGAATATATTTGGTCAAGTTACTGATGTGAAGAATAAACAGGAAACTAAAAGCTCAATCGTTTTGGTCACGTTAAAATAGCCTTACTTTTGTCTCATAGTAAAAAAAACAGTTCATCACATTTATTTCATAATAAGACAATGTGATGTTCTCATTATGTTTACAGTATGGGACACCTGGCTGATCTGGTACACATTGCATTTTAAAGTACACAGTACATTTTGTTGTCAGTTGTTTTTGTAGCTTGCTCGTGGTCCAGGCCTGGGATTTTTACCGTTACATACAATTGTTTTATTTTTTTTCTCCATAATTGTGATACTAACAGAATCTGTGGCTTGATTCAAAATCTGAAGGCGTGTTTATAAGGTCAATAGCTTCATTTAAATGCTAAGTATAATGTCAGCAGGGTGGAGAATTGTCCAAGGTCGTCCGAGCGGCTCCCAGTTAACTTGCACTTTGTCTCTCCTCATCTCCACCTTTTTTTTCCCATTTCCTCCCTTCCTCTGTGGCGAGAGTGAGAGTTTGCTTTGTCCAGTCAGCAGGTAGGACCGAACTACTGCAGTAACTGCAGGCAGGCGGAAAGAGTGAGCGAGACAGAAAGAGAGGGAGAGAGAGGGACAGAGAGAGAGAGGGAGAGAGAGAGGGGGGAAGGAAGGGAGAGGATTGACAGGCAAAGGAAGAGGTAATCCTAACGTATTTACAGAACCATTCACAAATAATAACGGGCTGTTATTATTTGCAGTGACTTCAATTATAGTGTTATATATGTTTGACCGAATGTCCTTGTGTTGCAGTGTGTGTGTGTGTGTGCTTGTGTGTGTGAGAGCATTTGCTTACCGAACACACTGCCGGCTCACTTGCTGTTTACAATGAGACACATAGATGCAGCTTTACTGTATATTTGACCGGCTATATAGATTCAGATTCAAACTGAATGCTAATTTAATCTTGGTGAGATGGTTCATATGTAGATGTTGTGTGCTGGTTATTGGTGAGATGCTAGCAACATTTTATACATGTCCTCTGGGTTTATCTGGCACAAGTCGACAGCAAAGAAAGAAGAGACGAGTTACAGCAGACACACTTCACATAATTATAGACAAACCATAGCAAAGTTTGAATTCTGCAAGTATTTTCAACTTACAGTTCTTTTACTCCTGCTAGGACAGCAGCTAACCATCATTTCGAATGATTATTCCATTGGTAATTTGTGGGATTTAATGATAATTCATTTGATATAGGGATGCACCGATCCAACTCTTTCATTCCTGACAACTGATAGCTATACCTGCGCTTAATTAAAATGTAAAATTCCAGTATATAATGGTTTCACATTGTGATATTGTCTCAGGATAAAGAGACGGATTAATGATTTTAGCATAATCCCAAAACCTCATCTGGTCTCTATTTGTGTTCACGTGTAGTGTTCATCTTCTTGCCTGTGTGTTCATGCATAGGCATTGTGTGTGTGTGTGTGTGTGTGTGTGTGTGCTATACGTAAGGCTGCGTGTGTGCGTGCAGTGTTGACACGGGTAGCAGCTGATTCCAGGGTGTCACGTCCCCAATTACCTTCGATCATGTCACTGTGATGTTATTGGCTGAATGGTTGTCACTGTCACCTACCATCAGGCGTCACAAAGGCTCCACACTTCCTTGCCTTGAGATCTCTCAGCTCTTACTGCTCTTGTCTGTTTTTACTGATCAGCTTCTCTCACTGTGTGCGTTCCTTCAAGGTTTTAGGGATTCTGTTTCAGGAATACTGCTCCTGACAGAGTCTGAGTTGCCGCCCTGATCTCAGTTTTTTTTTTTTTACAAGTGATTCAAATAGGGCTGGTTTTGCTCTCGTGGCTGCTGAGCCAATCAGAGCCTTTGTGGGCAGGACTCAAGCTGGTGACAAACTTTGTCGCAGTTAGACAAATCTTAGCTATGGTTGCTTTACTTAAATTGAATCAAGGATCTTATCACCGCTTGTGGTCTTTTTTGAAGCGGCATAGTTATTGCCATATAACAAAGAGACAAAACAAAACCTCCTGATCTGACTCAGTCTTCATTAAGGAACAGGTAAATACAGAAAAAGAAAGCAGGGTCTGTGCCAGGAGGTCTCGTCCACGAGCACTGACCTGTTTGCTTCGCTGTGCTCTTGTTCAGATCCAGGTGATCAAAATAGAGACGGAGGACAACAGAGAAACTCGCTCTGCCAAGGATGCCCTGCTGCTCTGGTGCCAGATGAAGACCGCAGGGTGAGCAGTGGAATAAAACAATACTCGAGACTGGAAGCTGCAACTGTGAATTTCATGGCCGTTTATGTAAAAGTGCCAAGTCGGTATGTTAGCGGTTTCAGTTTCAAGTTGTGAGAAAGGGATTTCCCCGTGTTTAGGTACCCTGAGGTCAACATCCAGAACTTCACCACCTGCTGGAGAGACGGCCTCGCCTTCAACGCCCTCATACACAGACACAGGTAGCTGTGTCTTTTTTATTCTAACATGTTTCCATGACAGAGATAAAGTGGAGAGACGTGTAGCGGGTTTGGCGGATTTTAGGATTAGTGTCATATAAACATGACAAGTTCTGTTTCATCATCTTGCGCCCTCCAGGTCCGACCTGATAGAGTTCCACAAGCTGACGCGGTCCAATGCAACCCACAACCTCCAGCAAGCCTTCAACATCGCTGAGCAGCACCTGGGCCTCACCAAACTCCTGGACCCCGAGGGTGAGAACGTTCAACTGCTTTTGTCATCAGTCAGACACACATCACATACAGCAATATCCGTATCAAAACCAAATTAGTGGCATGAAAGTGTTTTTTTTTACTCATTGAGATAAATAGTTAGCGTGTGCTTCAAACCTAAAGTCAAGCAGACCATAACCCCTCTGCTCTCCATCACCTCCATCCGTCTCAGATGTGAACACAGAGAACCCAGACGAAAAGTCCATCATCACGTACGTGGTCTCCTACTACCACTACTTCTCCAAGATGAAGGCTCTTATTGTGGAGGGCAAGAGGGTCGGCAAGGTAACAAGTCGCACACACGTGGAGATACACACACACACATATAGACATTCAATATAAGGTGAAGGGCCAGCAGTGTTTGTTAGTTAAATCTCAATTAACAAATAATCAAAATGTGCAGGGACTTAAAGGTAAAATATGTAACTTTTTCTTATCAAAATGTCTTAAAACGACCAGATCTATGTTACTTTTTTTGTTGAATTATGTACCTATATCTATACACCTATATCATCTCAAATGTTTCAACAATTGTGTTTGTTTTGGAGAGGATGAGGATTCATCTCTCGGTAGTAATAATAATCCTGAACGATGAACACTGAAGGAATCCTAAACAGGAGAAGATAACTGCAACTCCCATTATCCCACGCTACGTCATGATGTTACCACACCCCGTCTTTTGTTATTGTTGTGATTGAAGGACGAGAAACCCTTCGTGGTAGAACATTAAATGTCGTTCATTTAAGAGATAGAGAAATATACAAACACTATCATTCAAAACAAAGTCTCTTTCTCTCATTTCCTTCTTAACTCTGTGTCCCTATTCTTTGTCTCCGAATGTGCTCCCGACCCCCCCCCTCCGTCTGGCTGACTCAGGTCCTAGACAACTGCGTTGAGGCGGAGAAGATCGTCAACCGCTACGAGGCTCTGGCTTCAGACCTGCTGGACTGGATAGAAAAGACCATCGCGGTCATCAGCAACCAGAAGTTTGCCAACTCGCTGACCGGAGTTCAGCAGCAGCTACAGGCCTTCACCACCTACTGCACCATCGAGAAGCCCAGCAAGTACGTGTTTGTGGATTTCTGAAATGGCATCTTGATATTTAAGTGACTTTTTACATTGTAAATACAACTGGCAATGTGGTGTCCTACTCTGATTGCAGCTCCAAACGCATTTAAATGAATCTGTAAGTCGATACATTGAAAATGTACCAACTGCATCACCTTGAACTTGGAATTACAATGGACAATTCTCACTGTTGTGTTTTCTGACAGATAATAGACGAAACAATCGATTTATTAAGAAATAATCAGCGGATAGGTGACATACTTCTCCGAATGGATTCTTTTTTTTTTCAGAAAATTGACAAGAGCCCTTGAAACCTTTCCATCGTCCTCAAACTTTTGTGTTTTTCTCGACCAAAGTTGACTGTCGAAAGAGAAGACGGCGTATTGTGAAGCTGGATGGCTGACTGTAGTTTTCTGTTTCTCGCTCAGGTTTCAGGAGAAGGGGAATCTCGAGGTCCTTCTGTTCACCATCCAAAGCAAGCTCAGAGCCAACAACCAGAAACCCTACGTGCCTCATGATGGGAAGCTCATCTCAGACATCAACAAGGTCATATACATCCACCAGCTGTGTTGGTTTACTAAAATACACAGTATTTCAGCTTTTACTGAACAGTAAAGAGAAAACCTGCAGTCAAACTTAGTGTCCAAAGTTTTCACTTTACATTGGCCTGTTTAACAAGTTATATTTTACATTACCTCTATTTTTCTATGATACTACCACTATTTAACTGTTTTTTTTTTTTTTTTTTTGCCATTTTCTGTCCAGGCCTGGGAGAGGCTAGAGAAGGCAGAACACGAGAGGGGCGTGGCTCTGCGCAAGGAGCTGATTCGTCAGGAGAAGCTGGAGCTGCTGGCTCAGTGCTTTGACCACAAAACCACTATGAGACAAGCCTGGCTCAATGAGAACCAGAGACTCGTATCGCAGGTAGGGACCTCGTGCAGCGGCCTCTTCCAGTGAAGACTGAATGAGCAAAAGGGTTCGACTGCATCGGGGAAAAAGATGACCTGCTAAATTTCGTTTTTTTTGGGGGTTTTTTTCAGTTCCCTGTCTAAATTATATTTAATGTATTATGCCCACTATTTTTCCCTTTTGCACGGATGCAAAGTCAAATATTGCAGATGATTAGTGACATAATAATAAATAACCAATTAAACCAAATAATCAATTTTAAACTTGATGTGTGAGCTGCATAGTTCCTCTCACAAATGTGTGTTTTCTTATTGTCCCTTCACATGGACGTTTGTGCAGAACCATTTATGTGAAGAGTTTGACCCTCTGCTTCAGGGGCTTTTCTATTATACTCAGTACTCAGAGTGCCTTGGAGACATCTTTTAAGTTTAACTTCGGAAATTAAAAAAATATTTGCATATTAATGGAATCTGGATGTTTTACTGAGATTAGAATTAATATGTGCATGATATAACTTGTACTAACACATGTATTACACCAGTCTAAATTACATAGTAGGCCTCCAACAGAGAATATTGTTCCATTCAGATGAATTCCTGTAAAATCAACCTGTGTTTGAATACATGTGAAGTCCTGTACTACTGTGTGCAAGTTAATTTGTCTTCTTTCACTTTCTCTTTTCACTTCCACCCCCTTAGTCTCCCCACTTTCTTTGAGCATCTCACACCGTTTTCTTTCGAATTGTTCTTCACTTTGCCTACAGGACAATTTTGGCTACGACCTACCAGCAGTCGAGGCGGCCATGAAGAAACACGAGGCCATTGAGGCGGACATCGCCTCGTATGAAGAGCGAATCGGCGTGGTGGTGGAACTCGGGGCGGAGATAGAGGCAGAAGGATACTACGACATCCGGCGTATCCTGGCACGAAAGGAGAACATCCTGGGCCAGTGGAGTCTGCTGAAGGAGCTGGTGGCTGGGAGGAGGACCCGGCTGGAGAAGAACCTGGCCCTGCAGAAGACGTTCCAGGACATGGTCTACATGATCGACTGGATGGAGGACACACAGGTAATGCAGGCTGTGTGAGAGAGACACTCCATTGTATTCAGTAGTTGGACAAAGACAGAGGAAAGAAATCGTGGACATGAAGAACGACAAATAGATCCAGAAAGACAGAGAGTCAAAGATGTTTGCATGTTCATGATTTATCAAGAGAAATTAAGACATAGGGAATATAGTAGGATAGAGGGGGGGGGGGGAATTAAACTAGTAAAAAATAAAGACATCCTGATGTATTGTAACATCACACATGTTCCCTGTCGTCGTCTCAGGTCCAGCTTCTGTCCAAGGACTTTGGGAAGCATCTCCTGGAGGTGGACGACCTGCTGCAGAAACACAGTCTGCAGGAAGCCGACATTGCAGTGCAGGCCGAGCGGGTCGAGACGCTCAACACCTCTGCTCTCAAATTCACCACGATAGAAGGTATATACCACACACACACACACACATCTGTCTTCAGCTTCATATGAAAGTAAAAGTCTGAACAAAGTTTCAGGGGTTTTCGTTAGTATTGCCTGTAATGAGGGCTGGCATGAATAGAAATGCAGTTTTTAATTGATCTGGTTCGAATCAACTTAAGGGAATGATCTGAGGTGAAACTGTCGTGTTGTACTGAGAGTTCCGGTTTGTAAACAGTGTCATAAGTATACAACCATTTGACCACCATCGACTAATTCTCTATTGATTAACCTGTTGATTTGTTGACGATTTATCTAAACAATCATTTTAATAATTAATATTTGAATTAATTTAAGTTTATTCTATTTTGACAAACTGTAGGCTATGTCATTTTATAATGCTGAACACTTTCTACAGCAGCAGGCAGATGAATATATTTAGCAGCTCCAAGGGCAAAAGGTTTTTAGAATATTGATGTCGATGCATTTTCAGCGTTGACGTCATCGGTTAGGCCGTTTTGACCGCAGGATGCAGGATACTAATTGAATTGAAAAAGTGTTTGTTGTGTTTTTCTTATTTATTTATTTTTTGTTGAATTCGTTGATTCAATTTGATGCACATTTTGGTACAAAAAGCCTTATGTGTTGATAAGAGCTACAGCATGTGCACAGTAACTAGAGATGCACCGTTACTTTTACTGATGCTGATATCGGTCCGATACTGACTCACTTAGCTGTATCGGGTAAGAGGGACAATATGCAGATCTGGTATCGGATGCCGTTATTTTAGAATAAAAAAATTCAGTGCATTTATATCTATGTATTTATTAGTTACATTTAGTTTTACAAGGTTAGGAAAGCAATATTTAAGTCAGACCGGACCTTACTCATAGAAGGAATGATCCCACTCACGTCCACACTGTGAGGCATACAGCTTATTAAATGAACTCTGGTCGAACTCTGGAATCGGTTCAGGACTGAAAAAGGCTGATTGGTGCATCGACAATATCAACAACTAAATTGAACCTTTGAAAGTATAAGATTTGTTTAAGTAGTAACGAAGAGGCAACAATTGTTTCTGAACTATTCCTCAGTCTACTGAAATGGACCAGTATTGATTTCATTCAGTCTTCTGAAGATGTATTTGACCTTGAGACAACTCGATATCAGTAAGGTGATCCTCTCAGTAGTCCAGCTCAGAGAACACTACTCTGTAATGAGTGAATGTATCCATTTTGGGATTTTCACAGTCATTAACCTCATTTCATTGTTTCCCAGGTTACCAACCGTGCGACCCACAGGTGATCTGTAACCGTGTCAACCACGTCTCTACCTGTCTGGAGGAGCTGAAACAACTGGCAGATAAAAGGCGCGATGAGCTGGAGGAGTCGAGACAACTGTGGGCCTTCTTTCAGGTAGAGCGGGGCGACGGGATAATGCCGCGTTGATTGCTCTGAGCAAGTTAAGGGGGCCAGTAAACCCCATGTGAAGCTGTTGGATGCTTCAAACGGTTTTCATGCTATCATTCTTTTCACCAAAATGTCTGTATATTTTCGTGTGCACAAACGAGTGCAAAATGTGCACCGTTATCCCCGTATTCAAACTATCACTGCGTCTCCTCTCTCAATGTGACTGCACATCACTCCACCTTCAAGTGTAAAACAACTAAAGACATTTGAAGGGGGGGGGCATCAGTCTTTGTGTTTGGGATTCCAAATGAATTCATCTTCATCATGTCAAACCTGCTTTAAAGTTTTCTATGCATTGTTTTTGAGGGAAATCCTACTCACTCTACCTTTAATTTATTATACATCAATCAACCTTAGTTAACAACATTTTCATACCGGTAGCTGGCTAATTAGTGGAGAAATCTAACAGAAATATCTACTGAAGAGATGATAAATCACACAGCAAACTATTGTAGTAATAATAACTACGCTGTGGTTTTGGTTCCTTTTGCACAAGAACAGAATATTCTGCAGTGCAGTGAGGACCTGTGTTTGTGTTTTACAGCATATCTATTCTACAGTAGTAATGAATAACACAGCTTTCTCTCTTGTAGACTGGGAGAGAAGGCACAGATTATAATCCCATTAGTTATTTTTAACTAATGTGTGGAATGTGTGTCTAAGCTGTCCGTCACTCACACAGTCACTCACACAGAGGTGATGAACGAGTTATTAGTGTTAGTGAGTCAGCTTTTAGAACGAACTATGAAAGTAATGAGCGTATAATGAGAATAGCAGATTTCTTTGTCCAAAGAGTCATTGGTTCACACTGTTGAATCACTAATTACATCACATTACTGATTCATGTGGCTGATTCCCCTTCTGCCTTTTTGGGAGGCTCTCAGAATCAGACTGGGATCAGTGTTAGACGGACTTTATGCATTACAGGGAGGACGGGTCCTTCACATAGTTTTTCCATATCTTGCTTTTTTCTTTTTCCCACTCTTCCCTTTTATGTTTTCATTGATTATATCTTTTTTTTTTTAAATAATATTTTCTTTGTTTGAATGTTAAAATGTACATCTTGTTCTCCTGTTAGGAGCTGGAGGAGTCGGAGGCCTGGATCAGGGAGAAGAGCTCCATCCTGGGAGCTCAGGGTTACGGGAAGGACCTGAGCAGTGTGCTGAAGTTACTACAAAAACACAAGAACCTGGCTGGAGAGCTGCTGGCTCACCGGTCGCTGCTGCAGGTGTGTATGCGTGTCTGTGTGTGAGAATGAGCACCTGGAGTACCCACAGTACCTGGAGTTTCAGTTCTGAACTTGATGTACTTCAGTGAATTTATTCATTCACCTACCAAAAAACAACAACGTAAAGGGATATTTTGGATGTTTTGAAGTGGGGTTGTGAGTGGTATTTCTCCATAGTCAGTGTTTTAACTACAGTAGATAGGGGTCGACACGCCCACAGTTTGGAGAAACAGACTGCTTGACGGGGGGATGGGGACAGCAGCAAAATGTATTTTAGACACCTAAAAAAGGCCCACCTAAATAAAAAAGTGTATGCTATATTTGGAATATTTCCACCACTTTACCTTTAGCTTATTCCAAAGGTGAGCTGAAGCCGTTACATCCATCAATGCTCTCTGTAAAGCCGCCAGAATCCATTGGAAAAAAACCAAACAATTGTATTTGCTTTGCAGAACACGCTGGTCTACCGCTGCCTCCATAGATTAGTTTGTTTGTGTTGTTGTGTGACTTTGCTGAATTTCGTGAATGTGAAATAGTAATAACCCTTTAAAAAACCAAAATCACACAATAACACAACAAAACTAACTCACCGTGTTCTGCGAGGTAAAATTGCTGTTTTTGTCAAAAGAGTCTGGTCACTTTGAAGAAAGCATAGATACAAATTTCAAGTATTCTAAATATATATTTATATATATATTTAGGTATCTAAAATAGGTTTTGCTGCTGCCCCCGTCCACAGTAGTGCATTGCTTTGCTCACGTGTCTGTTTCTCCAAACTCCATCTACTATAGGTAATACACTGACTACAGATGAGTACCTCATGCAACCCTTCAAAAGCCACTTCAAAACATCCAAACTATCCCTTTTAACTTACTAAAACAGTACAAATACAGTTGTTATATCACCTCTGCACTTTTTTAGTACATTTTCATTCCTAGAATCTGGTTCACAGTTTGAATATTGTATTTATTTCATGCTTTTTTTTTTTCTTGTTTGCAAACTCGTACTTGATGTGAAGCACCACATTACCGTTTGAATGTAATATTGCTGGTCAGTTGGCCATCTGTTAACAAGCAGGATAATGTAGAAGACCAAATACAACAATGTTGACTCCAGTTAAAGATCAACACGAGTAAAGCATCCAGAGATGACAATGTTCCTTCACGTTGATTATGATGTCCGTAATGTTGGATTATGTATACGTGTCAACGTGTATCAATTTGAAGACAGTGTTGAAGAACCTGCTTATTAGAAGACCCACCTTACTGCATGCGGTGTGAAAATAATTTGCAGTAACCATGTTATTCCTCCATCCTATCCTATGCTCCTCCAGAACACCATGAAGCGAGGAAAGCAGATCCTGAGTGACAAGAGCTTTGGCACGGCGGGCATCCAGGAGCGCATCATGGAGGTGAAGGGCGAGTGGAAGAGGCTGGAGGACCAGGCCGCGCAGCGTCTCGGCCACCTGCAGGAGGCACTCAACTTTTTCCAGTTCTCCACGGAGACGGACGACCTGGTGGCGTGGCTGCAGGACGCCTACCGCCTGGTCTCCAGCGAAGACTTTGGACATGACGAGTACTCCACCCAGTCCCTTCTGAAGAAGCACCGGGGGGTCAGCGAGGCCGTTGACAAACATCGTATGCATGTGGTGGCGCTGCGCAAACACATGGTGGTGCTGCCTCTGCAGTACCGTGAACAGGAGGTGAGCGGGGAAAGGATGTGTCACTTTTTTCATGTAAAGTATTTTGTGTGTCCCTCTACAATCTTTTCTTTTACCCTTCTTTGTCCCCTCTGCTGTCTTCTCCCCTCTCCTCTCCTCTGCAGGAGGTGCAGGTGCGCATGGGAGAGGTGGAGCAGCTGTACACCGAGGTGGCTGAGGTGGCGGTGCTCAGACAGCAGTGGCTTCACGACGCCCTCGCCGTCTACCGCATGTTCAGCGAGGTCAACGCCTGCGAGCTGTGGATTGACGAGAAGGAGCAGTGGCTGGACAAGATGGAGATCCCAGAGAGACTGGAGGACGTGGAGATGGTGGCGCACAGGTGAGGCAGGGCAGGTGGAAGGTTTGGTCGCTGGGGCAGCAAATGCAAGCTCAGCTGGTTTGTTTAAATCAAAGAGCTCAACATTTTTAGTCAGTGAAAAGAACTCTTAACCCACTAACATGTCCTGTCGTATCCCACAATGCCATTTGTTGTAGGTTTGAGAGCCTGGACCAGGAGATGAACAGCCTGATGGGAAGGATCCTGGATGTTAACCAGATAGTTCAGCAGCTCCTGGATGGAGGTCATCCGTCCTCTACAGAGGTCAGAGGTTGTCAGGATCACCTCAACTCACGGTACGGAAACCAAACTGACTTGTTCTTGTCGTAACATTAACGTTTATTCTATAACTCTTTTCCAATGAACGTAGCTAGCAGCGCTTGCTCCAAAATTTGCTAAGTTTAACAAGAAACTTGGCAACACTCCCTTCAGGCCTCCCTCTAAAGCCACGCCCTCCAAAATATCGTACTGAACATAAACAACAAACATGGCTATTGTTAGTCCTGTGGAAGACTCTAGTGACGCGCAATGAGCGCACGGAAGGCCGGTACATAGACCAGGCTGCAATCTCCGGTTATGAAAAGTGAAGCCAATGCAGAAGTGCTTTAAACTTGCATTATTTCTAATGGAAATCAGAGGGCGACTCATCTGGTTGGAAAAAGAAGTCTGGTCGTATAGAAGTCTGTGAGAAAATGACTCTACTTCTCTCTTGATTTATTCCCTCAGTAAACATTGTAAACATGAGTTTATGGTCTCAATCTCTAGTTTCAAGTCTTCTTCAACACAGCATGATGTTCATTTAGTAAATTATGATCCATTTAGAGTCACACAGACCATAAAGCAGAGTATGCTTTAGGGCGGGGCTACCTTGTGATTGACAGGTTGCTATCGCTACCAAAGCCGTACAAAACGTCTCTACGTCCCTCCTCCGCAATCAAATATGGTCACTTCCGTTCACTGGTTGCAAATAACAACTATGGCCATGGCCGTAATCCCAGATGGTGACGGCCAAAACGCCAAACTCGAGGCTTCAAAATGCATTCCACAAGGCAGTAGATGACGTCACGACGACAACGTCCATAGTCTATGAGGTCAACAGGCAGGTCACTGCTCACTGTCCTGCAACAGCCACATATAAGGGAATTTGTTGTTCTTTTTTTTGTCAGCACATTTGATTGATTGATTGATTGATTGATTGATTGATTGATTGATTGATTGCTTCAGAATTTCAACATATTCATAATAACCCAATTTTTTTTTCTAAAAACATTACTCACCCAATACGCCTGTTACAAATCCTACTATCAGGATACGTGTATTTGTAAAGCACCTTTCAAACACAGAGGAGGCACAGAAATACATCAGATCATCATTTAAACACATGCAGAGGAAGATAAAACCTGGAAAAGTCAAATGAAATGAAATACATATCAATATGACAGTAATTAGAATTATTAAAGTTAAATATTTGATTATGGTATTGGTTGTATTATTAACTAATCATATCACTGCAAATACTATTATTATGAAAACAAAACGTTACACTGCAATACTAAGCTACAACCTCTAACCCGATACAGACAGCAGCAGAATAATATGCATTAAAACACTAATATGTCTGTGCTCGCTCACTAACACAGATGTTGAAATGACACGGGCACTGTGTGGAACTACAAAGCAGAGACTTTTGCCATCAGATCAGTAATAACAGAAACCTTTATTTCAGTCATGAGCCAGTAACTGCAAGTGATTGTTAATAGATGGATGTTGGATCTGAACTTCCAGAATCCATATCTAATATTTCCAAGACGGCCTTTTTATTTCCAGTAGATCAGATGACTGTAGTGCACTTTTTGCTGGACTGGCATAGCAGGTGTATGAACAACACATCACTCCTGTTTCAACTTCTCGTCACTGGCTCCCAGTAAAACAAAGAATTCAATTATATTATATTTAATGGTTTAGCTTTTTTTTTAACTCTTTATTTGTTGAATTGTGACCCTTTACTGTAGTTCCCAGAAAAGAAGAGGATATAAGAAGATAAGTATCAAAAACGACTTTAATAGCTACTGTATATCCCTCCGACTTCACCCCACGATCATAGCATTTCAAAAACAGACAAAAGCAAAATAGTTACACAATAGCTTTGATTTTCTTCAGTATGTAGTTTTATTTTATTTTTGTATCATGTTTGTTTCCTTTATACTCTTCCATCTCACATCATGCAGTTTAGAGAGGGTCCAAATCCTTTGATTTCTTATCTCCATTTTATAGACTTCGTTAATCGTGTCCTTCCATTAGCTTTGCTGTGGCGCCTCTGGTTTCAAACATTTTTGTTTGTTATCTCTTTAAGTGCCGCTACTCTAGAATTCTAAAAAAGATACCCATCAGTGTGTTGTCTGTAGTGTTCTGCCAAGTACTAAATGCTCCGGGGCCCAAAACGGAATGTGCACTGAAAGAAAGCATCTGCAACTTTACTTATTTGCGGTTAATGCTGCATTGACTTCCTGTGTTGTTGACATGCTCACTGAATGCACACCGGACAGATTCCTTAGAGCATCAAGTCAGGGTCTCCTCACTCGACCTCAAGCTCATTCTAAATCAGCTTATGGTCCCTTCAATCATTAGTCATAATCTCTACCACACAAACAACAACAACAACAGTGTCTTCTTTTAAAAAAAGATTTATTTCTGTTTGTCTGCAAGCTTGTAAGTTTAAAGTGTGTGGTTAACGGCTTAAAGTTGTATTTTAATAATAATAATAAAAATACCATCCTATTATTTCAATACGTCTTATCTTGAATTTTTTTATCTTGTGTTTTTATATATGTAATACCTTCTAACCATGTTTTTTTCATGCATGATCTTTGCCTATTTCTAGTTTTTCATTTGAAGCACATTGTTTAAAGACCTCTATATAAATAGACCTGATTGATTGATGCCACTGAAACACTTACAGAGAAGAGAGTATGTGGCGAAGGACAAGTTTCCGTAGATTAAAGTCTTCCAAACTTCTACCCAGAAATGTATTTCATAATGTTTACATCTATAATGTGCAGTATGTGGAGAGCAGCCTCTCTTGTATGGCTGTCCTATTTACTCCGGGGAGGGGGGAGGAGGGGGGGAGGAGAGGGGAGGCTGACTGACAAGAAAAGAAGACGTGAGGGAGAGAGATTTCGTAGGGTTGTGTACCTATTCAGGGGAATTCATATACTCTCGAAATTCTTTTTGTTTGTGAGGTAATTTTTTTTGCGTGTAATTGCCTTTTTGACAATTGAGTATGAGTTCAGTGCCTGAGATGTGAATGTAAAATAGCATAACTTCTAACTGTCTGCTGCACCAATGTCTCTCTCGTCCTCGCACCGTTATTCACGCTGACATCCGGCCAGGTCGGCCCTGCGACCGGAGTGGCTGTTTTATCCGTCTCGGCCACGTTCACTGACCACCGTTCTGCCAGCAGAGCCCACGGTGGCCGGGTGTCTACGAGTCTTGTGACCTTGGCTCATGGCGTTTGTCTCGGGGCGACCATCTGTGCTGCCTCAGTCAGGACGAGGCCAGCCAAGAGCAAAAGACAAAAAAATAAAATAAAGCACAAATCTCGTTCACTTTCTGGTATTAGTCGTTCAAATTCTGTTTCAGTTTTAGGGCCATGACTGCATAATGTCTTTGCTGCGCTTTAGACATGAACACTGTGTACATTATTGGGGTTATTGTGTGTAAATTCACAATGTAACACCAGTAACTATATTTCCCATTAGTTGAATATTTTCACCCCGTAGAGCACATAGCTATGTCATTTATCTACTTCAGGATAGTCAGTTTCCTCCTTCGTCTTCACATTTTCTACCTTGAATATGAACAGTTTTACTAATTTTGGGCGTCTTAGTACAGTATTATTACAATATTAATACTATTCAAATTTTATAATTAGTATTTTTTCCTCAAATCATCAACATTTATGTAAGCATACACTCATGGTTATCCTTTATTTCATATATGAATACATAAAACTAAACTAAACTTTGGGTAAGCTTATCCACCACTGCTTCCCTGTAGACACACATGTCAAGTTTCATTTCAGTGAAGCAGCAACCCCCGTCACACACACACGCACACACACGCACCCCAACAATCAGCACCAACGTGTTGCATCTTTAAGGCGACTCTAGCAGCTCTGAGGTCAGTGTCACCGAGCTGATTTCCTGCCTGCCCGCAGAGCGCTCTGTCTGCCTCTCGGTGACTCTGCCATTACCTCATTACCTCTCTGCGTGTGTGTGCGTGCCTCGGTGCGTTTGTGTGTGTGCGCGTGTCTTGGCTGAATAGGTTGTGTACTGAGACCTGCTGGTCTGGAGCAGAATCAGGAGAACATATTGTATGACGATATGGTGAGCAGACAGGGCCCGGGCAGAGAGCAAACCCAATCGACCGTCTCACAGGAATCATTTCAGGTCAACATGGAAATTAGTCTTTTACTGATTCTGCAGCTTGGCTCTTCTCAAGGTCACGATTCATGTTTCATGTTAAAGATTTTTAGCTTTTTCATAACAGAAACCAAAAAACAAGAGTTTTCATATAAGCGCCAGATCTAACAATACAAGATGCCTCTGGTTTAAAACCAATCAGTCTAATATTTTTCAGCTGATGCAGTATTTCTGCAGTAGATCTTGTGACCTGGAACAATAGAGCGCTGGAGTAATAAGCCTGGTAGTCTTACAGTTCATCCTTTTTTCAAACCTTATAAGAGGCCAGGAAGAAAATGAATCCTGCCTTACCCCTCTGAACACAAAGCAGTTTCGGGGCGTTCTGTCACATTTTCGTCGTTATCACTGCGATGTATAAGTGTGTATCTGTGGCTCAGTGGTGGAGCAGGGTCGTCCTTCAATCAGAGGATGGGCAGTTCGTGTCGATGTGTCCTTGGGCAAGACACTTATCACCAAATGCCTGCAATGTATAAGTGGGCATGAATGGTTAGTTAGAGTCCTGATGGGCAGGTGGGCACCTTGCATGGTAGCTCCTGTCATCAGTGTATGAATGGGTGTGAATGGGTGAATGATGACATGTAGTGTTAAAGCAGTTTGAATGGTTGAAAAGACTAGAAAAGCGCTACAAGTACAGTCCGTTTATCATTTACCATCTATGGAAAAGGCAAAATCATGAATAGAGGTAGAGAGAAGTCAAACATATCTTTTGTACAGTATAACATAGTTACAAAGCCATAGATCATAAAAAGTTGAATTTGAACGCAAGTTGAAATTCTTTGATAATTCCTTTAAAAAAATCTAAATCGGAAAACAATGGAACTTACATATATATATACAACATTTTTCCAAGTGTTTGAGGCTCCACGTGCTATGTACAGTATATGAACGTTTTACATGTTTACAGCCTCTCCCGTCTGCTCTTTGTTCAGTTGAAGCTTCACAGATATTTTGTCACGTAACTGTTGGTCTCAGCAGAATCAATCAGGGCTTCCAAGTTGCACCGAGGAGCTCAGAATTAAATGTTTTATCAGGAACTGGTTAGAGCAAATGTTTTTTTATGGAGGTGTGAAATTTTAAATGAAACATGTAGAATAAAGTGTTTTTGATGAAATATCACATTAGTTAAGCTTTGGAAAGATAGAAATGTGGCAATAATGTTGTTTTTTGAAGAAAACATGTTTTTCAATCCCGTCGGCGGGTTTTGGGGTTTGGAGGACTTAAACGATCCAAACTGGCTCTGGGTTCTGAAAACATTCTTATTGAAAATTGGAGGGTGAATGTACAAGCTTAAAACAAATCTCTTTTGGATTGAAAAGGAATGACATCCTGTAGGTGTAAAATGGAGAAATCTTCACTGCCGCACATTTCTCCCTCACAGTACCACATTCTCTCTCTATCCTTGTCCGTCCATACCAGGTGGAACAGCATCGTGGAGCTGGTGGAGCAGAAAAAAGATCAGCTGGACTCCATGCTACGCCTGCAGAACTACCTGCTGGAGTGTGCCGAGATCAAGTCCCAGATCCAGGACAAGAGAAAAGCCATCGACGCCACTCAGTACATGGGCAGCGACCTGGGAGGAGTAATGGCTCTGCAGAGACGCCTCTCCACCATGGAGGGAGCCCTGTCTGTCCTGGAGCCCAAACTACTGCATCTACAGGTAGGGAATTATGGGGAAAATACATTGACTATACGAGCGGTAAAAGAAGACATTCATTTAGGTTTCCACTGTGATTTTTAGATAATTTACATTAGAAAAACTGCTCTTTTTCGAGTCTTGTTAGCCATAATGGCTAACTGTTAATGTTAACCTTGTAACCTGTTCATTTTCCCATGTTTTTTGTATTTATTACAAACAAACCACTGTTGGTGCTACAGGAAATATAGAACACATCAGTAAAGGTAATAGATAGTGGCACAATAAATAACATTATTTTCACCAAATCAGTGATCGTGAGGAACCACAAAAGATATAAAAATATGGAGGTTAATATGATTTGATACGCAGGTTGCATTATGCAGCATCAAAGGCTACAATCACCACAACCCCCTCTCTGTTTGGTGATGTAGGAGGAGGCGGAGCACATGGCCACCGCCCACCCTGGTCGGGCCATGGACGTTCTCGTGCCGTTTGATGGCATCAGCGTGGGGTGGGAGGAGCTGAAACGCACCTTGCAGGGCTGCGAGGACTCGCTGATGGTGGCCAGCAGGCTGCAGAGCTTCATACAGGTACACAGAGACGGCTCATACGTCACTCTGATCCTTCTGAATAGGGACTGACTCGGCATCTCACTCCATCCCATTGATACTGCCATGTGGCTGACTTTACCAATTTATCACATTTTTTAAAAGAAATGAGCTCAACAATGTTAAATCACGTTGTTGCTTTGAGTTAGTTATTGTTATGAGACAAAACAATATCTCAGCACTTGTTCCAGGAATAAGTTCATCACTGGTATTGATCAGTAACCCACGCAGATACAGAAAGCTCTGGTAATTATGTGCTGTTGAGCAATAGAAACAACCTCTGCCTCTGTGCCTCTGTAACGGCTGAGAAACTTCCCAGAAGAGGTGCAGGAGGCGATTCTATCAGCCATGGCTGATAGAGTTGCATGGGAGTCCAGATTTCTAGATCCACAACAACAGACATGGAGAAATATGCGCTGGAGAAATTGATTTTAGGAAGTAAATTTGACAACAAACAAGCACAAATTCGCAATAGCTTCAAGCTATGCATGAATTCTCAAACACAACCTCACAAACAGTTGACTTCTACGCCTCATAGATGGAGAGTTGCAATGGATGGGTGGATGAGATGGGATGGGATTGATTGGATGGATGGATGATGCGATTGGATGGATGGTGGGAAGGGATTGGATGGCTGGACGGATGGTATGATGAATGGATGGATGGTGGATGGGATGGGATGGAATGGAGTTGGATGTTTTAGATGGATGTCATTTTTACACAAGAAAACCATTCGTATGGTGATGATGTGATGAAGTATATTTTGTCCGTCCGCACAAACTTTTGTGCTGCAGAACAAGAATAGAATTGATTCGATGTAAATCATGTTCCTCTCCCCGACTGTCAGGACCTGGACTCTTTCCTCACCTGGTTGGTCCAGACGCAGACGGCCGCCGCCTCAGACCAGCTTCCCAACGACCTGGAAGAGGCAGAGAAACTCATCAACAAACACGCGGCCCTGAAGGAGGAGATCGGACGGTGGGTCGCCGGGGCAATCAAAGGCTCATTCATGACTTTTTTAACACATCTTCCTTCTTAACCATGACATCATGTGTCACGGTCTCTGTCATTTTCCGTGCAGGTACGAGGAGGACTACGAGCGCCTGCAGGCCATGAACGAGCTGCTGGAGTCCGAGGAGGCTCCCCTCCCTCAGGCCGCCCTGCAGCAGTGGCTCCAGAAGCTCGATGTCGGCTGGAACAAACTCCTGGAGATGTGGGAGAGCCGGAGAGAAGTCCTGGTCCAGGCTCACATCTTCCACCTCTTCCTGCGGGATGTCAAACAGGCCGAATCCTTCCTCAACAACCAGGTGAGACAAGCAAACACCGAGCAAGTGTTGAGAGTTTACGAGGAGCGTCTCTCCAGACAGCTCTTTATCAGCAGTTCTGGGTCGTTGTTCTGTCAGTCCAAAACCTCTGGTTCAAAAATGAAATATCTCGAAAACTTTTGGAGGGATTGCTCTGAAGTCATCCAGCCGTGAAATATGACCAACGCCAGGTGATGTGAAAAAGCCATCCATCGTCCTGCATGACTTTACTATTTGTTGTTAACGGGCTTTGTATGTAATTAACTCATTAGCAAAGCTTCTAGCGAATCTTAAATAGCTCAACTATTTTCTTGCAATATTAGAGAAGTTCTGTTAAATTACGCTTAACAGCCAACTGATGTATGCAACATGCAGTATGATGTGCTTTTATGTTGCTGTATTCACATTGCACCTTTTAGGTGAAGTTTCTCTTTTATTTAATCTTCGTATCACGTGCATGGAGGTTTGTTTCTTCTGGAGTTGTTCCCGTAACGAGACCAGTGTCGTAAATGCCTCTGATACAACCTAACATGCTGGATCGGGTATTGGCGAGTATGCGTGTCGATGCACCGATCCAATATCACATTATCATATCATTTATCAGACAATTTACGCTACACAGGACCAACAACAACGCGTGTCACTCACAACCTGATCCGTACATCCTGACAAATCGCTACTGAGCGTGTGCAAGAGAAGCGGCTGGATGGCTCACTCGTTGGCTACTTCCGGAAAAAAAACGATTGCTGCATCTGAAATTGATGATGGAAGTCACTAAGGAGTGAGCCATCTCACTTCTTTTTCCATATCAGTTGAGAGTTGCACATGTGCAGTAGCGATCGGAGAGTGTAACGTTAGACATAGCTAACAAAATGTCCGCAATTTGTCAATATTTGACAGGAAAATCTTTTCTAATCTTAAATGTCACAGGCAGAGCTGCCTTTGACTCTTGTGTGTGCGCGTATGTCTATACGTGTGTGTTTATGTGTGTGTGTGTGTGTGTGTGTGTGTGTAAGCCTGTGTGCTGGCCGAAACGTCCCTTTTGGCTTGATAAAAGATCTTTACCAGGGACCAGCTCTCCTCATTAGCCCGGGGGTTTGATTCAGAGAGAGCAGCATTTCTTCTTGAATACATATCAAAGATGTCTGCCTCTCTGTTGTTTCTTCCTCAGTTTCATTTTACTTTCTGTGCGTCCAGAGGCCACATAGTACATCTGTAATGATGTGGTTCGTTTGAGTAGTTTTTCTTACATTTTTTAATATTTAGGGATTGATGGAACAAAATTAAAGTTTTTCACAATTATTTAATAAACGAATTGATTCATCTTTCAGTCTAATAGTGGAAAACGTACCCACACAATTTAACAGAAAAATCACAAAAGTGATCCTGACTAAGAATTGACATAGTCACATCCGATTGGTCAAGTCTTGCCGATAGTCGACTGATCGCCAAATTATGTGGTGTGTTTTTTTTGCTCATCGCTGTCTGTTTAAGCTTTATATGGAAAAGTAGTAAGAACAACAAAACTATTTGCTGAGATACATGTGACAAACGCTGAGCTTGTGTTTCACAATCACGGACAGCGTTGTTTTTGTGTGTTTTGTGTGTGTGTGTGTGTACAGTGTGGCACTATATTAGATAATTGTGCTACGTCTTATGTTTTCTTTGATTTTGAAACAGCAGCCTTATGTTGTTGTTATTTAGCCTTCATGATATTTAGCCTGGTGGCAAGTTTGTGCTACATGTGGATGTATTCACTCACACTTGAGATTGATTGAAAGCACATGAGTTTTTTCCGAATTTTGATGAACAGCATTATGAACAGACTGATATTTAAACCAAAATAGGCTTTACATCATGATTTATAGGGAGACACCAAGCTATTCTATGTATGATCAGACATTCAACTCCCCCTTATAGCCTGAATGGAATCATCCGTTGTTTCATTACCGCATTTTTCCGCCACTGCGATGATTCGACTGTGACTGATTAATGGATTATTAAATTAGTTGACAATATTTTTTTCTTTTCGATCAACTGATCGACAATGTAAAGAGTAAAATTGGTTGTTGCTCATATGATTTTTTAGAAAACATTAAATATCAGCTTAAATTTCAAGAAGCACTCTTCAGATATTTATTTTACTTTTTCTTTACTTTTCTACATATCCCCTGACTTCACTTAGTCAGCTCATAAACCAGGAAACCACCTCACTGTTACGTCTTCATTTCCCAGGAGTCGGCCCTCGCCCACGTGGAGCTGCCCACCACGGTGGAAACGGTGGAAGCCGCCATAAAGAAACACAAGGACTTCACCACCACCATGGAGCTGAACCTACACCGGATCAAAGCTGTGATCGAGGCTGGAGAGAGTCTGATCAGCCAGAGTAACATCTACTCGGACCGCATCAAGGAACGCATCGACACCCTCGCCAACAGGTACCAGATGCTAACATAACAAGGTTTATGAAGCGATGAATGGAATGACATGGATTAGACTAATTTAAGGCCAAATATCTGAAGTAGAAGACGATATCTGTTGAATATGGTCATTTTTATTTCATTATGAAGCATTGAAAGCTATCAAAAGAGCTTCAAAACGGTGATTGCCCACATTTACAATTCAGTTATAACTATATTATATATATCTATACATGTTACAACTGATTTAGGAAGTTCGCTGAGTGTGAGCATGTAGAAATTATGACACAAAAAATATATGCTGAGTTAAAGCACAATTAAATAAAAAAATATACAGCTATAGGATATCAAAGAAAAGCCTTTTTGTATACAGTGATGTATTAAGTTAGTGAATTTTTTTTTTTAAAGAAAATACAGATCCTTAAGTAGTCGCTAGCTTGTAAACCCTAAGTAGTTTTTTTTTCTTGAATAAATCTCCATTTAAGATGAAATGATGCCAAACGTTTCAGGTTTCTTCATGCTAGTTCTGTTCAAAGTGAGCACTAACTGCAGCTCCAAACACTTAAGCTGATTTCAAAGCACAAAGAAGCAAGCATCTGTCAGGACACAATGCAACGATAATAAAAAAAAAAGAAAGAACAATAGCAGCTAAAGCATTTGAAAGGAGAGAGACCCTCAAGAATAAATGAAACAAAGCAAAGAAGAAAACACAAAAACACAAAGCTCGGTCTGTTTAGTCCACCACAACCGACACCTGACCATGAAATCTGTGTGATAGCTGAGGTGGTGGTGGTGTGTGTGTGTTGGGTGGGGGCTGGGATGCTTTTTTGTGTGTGTGTGTGTGTGTGTGTGTGTGTGTGTGTGTGTGTGTGTGT